CAGAGCGGGTGGTTGAACATACTGACGTCGTTAGAGCGGGTGGGTGAACATAGTGACGTCGTTAGAGCGGGTGGGTGAACATGGTGACGTCGTTAGAGCGGGTGGGTGAACATGGTGACGTCGTTAGAGCGGTTAAGTGAACATGGTGACGTCGTTAGAACGGGTGGGTGAACATACTGACGTCGTTAGAGCGGGTGGGTGAACATGGTGACGTCGTTAGACCGGGTGGGTGAACATACTGACGTCGTAAGAGCGGGTGGGTGAACATACTAACGTCGTCAGAGCGGTAGGGTGAACATACTGACGTCGTTAGAGCGGGTGGGTGAACATGGTGACGTCGTTAGACCGGGTGGGTGAACATTCTGACGTCGTTAGAGCGGGTGGGTGAACATGGTGACGTCGTAAGAGCGGGTGGGTGAACATACTGACGTCGTCAGAGCGGGTGGGTGAACATACTGACGTCGTTAGAGCGGGTGGGTGAACATGGTGACGTCGTTAGACCGGGTGGGTGAACATGGTGACGTCGTAAGAGCGGGTGGGTGAACATGGTGACGTCGTAAGAGCGGGTGGGTGAACATGGTGACGTCGTTAGAGCGGTTTGGTGAACATGGTGACGTCGTTAGAGCGTGTTGGTGAACATGGTGACGTCGTTAGAGCGGTTTGGTGAACATGGTGACGTCGTTAGAGCGGGTGGGTGAACATACTGTCGTCGTTAGAGCGGGTGGGTGAACATGGTGACGTCGTAAGAGCGGGTGGGTGAACATACTGACGTCGTTAGAGCGGTTTGGTGAACATGGTGACGTCGTTAGAGCGGGTGGGTGAACATACTGACGTCGTTAGAGCGGGTGGGTGAACATGGTGACGTCGTTAGACCGGGTGGGTGAACATACTGACTTCGTTTAGAGCGTGTTGTTGAACATGGTGACGTCGTTAGAGCGGGTGGGTGAACATGGTGACGTCGTTAGACCGGGTGGGTAAACATACTGACGTCGTAAGAGCGGGTGGTTGAAGATGGTGACGTCGTTAGAGCGGGTGGGTGAACATAGTGACCTCGTAAGAGCGGATGGGTGAACATGGTGACGTCGTTAGACCGGATGTGTGAACATGATGACGTCGTTAGAGCGGGTGGAAGAATATGGTGACGTCGTTAAGACAAGTCAAGGAGAAAGGCATCAATAAATGTTACATGTGAATTAATGTGAACACCTAAGGAAATTTCATAAAAGACATGCCTGCGATTGCTTCTTCTGTAAACAAATACACCATCTGGTATTTTCCCGGACATATATCCTTGTGACATGTCACAGCAAGGTCAGATGAACCATGTATTGTACACAGAGCGTCAGATGTGTATTCTCATGGCTATAAGGGTAACGTCAGATGAACCATCTTGTGAAGAAGGTTATAAATGACAGATCTAATCATGCTTTCTCGGATGAAATCGTTATCTGAAAACATAAAATCGACAGTTCTTTGGAAAAAAGACGTTATACCGGTGCCACTTGCAGGTTTCCTCAATAACGCAATGGGTTTCAGAGTAGAAGCATAAATATCAGCTATGTTCATCAAAATATCAACCTTTGTTGATCACACGGTGCGATAAATATATTATTTGACATGGAAAGACAAATGTACTTTTTATATTGAACAGTGCTGATGGACAACCGGTGTCAGGGGCGGTCGGGTAGCCCAGTGGTTGAAGCGTTCGCTCGTCACGCCGAAGACCCGGGTTCGATACCCGACATGGGTACAATGTGTGAAGCCCGTTTCTGGTGTCCCCTGCTGTGATATTGCTGGATTATTGCTAAAAGCGGCGTAAGACCATACTCACTCACTCACTCACTCACAACCGGTGTCACTGTCAATACCTTCTCATACGTCGGAGTGGTAAATAAAAGCCACAAAATCTTTAACATAATCATAAGAAATATCTGCCATAAGCAGAGTCCGCCGTGCGAGTCCGACTATATCATGATCATGTGTTTATGAACCAAATAGCGATGATACCAGGTGTTCGCGAAAAGGTGAGCGTACCCGGTCCCATCGGTGGCACGCGTCACAAACACATGCACAGGCAAGGCAAGTCAAATGTTCACTTAAGAAAACAGGAGACCATATGGTACAAATCAAAATAGGGAATTGAATAAGATAAACCTTTTGTCACTTATGCCAAATGGGGTCAGTTTCGGCGGATAATGAAGACTGGTTATTCTCTTACATTGGCGTTTTATATACTTTAGGATTAAGGGTTTTCATTTTCGTCTCCCGGGTACAAGAAACAGTACAACGACAAAAGAAAACCGTGGCGACAAAATCAAGAACCTGTACCTACAAATCGTTGTAAGGTTAAAGTGATGACGCCCGGTGTTCGCGGAAACAGTACGCATGTCATCTTATTTAACACCTAGGGCTGTTACGGGTGAGGTGAGGTGAAATGGGATTTAACGTCGCGTCCAAGATTATTGCACTTATATAGCGACGTGCATGGACGTGTGTGTGTGTGTGGCTGCTTGAACTAGTCCGGACTGATGCCGATTTATAGTGCTAGCACACTGAGATAACATGCCGCAGTTTAACATGAATACCCCACTCAGACACAGTATACTGACTCCGAGCCGACCAGTCCTTGTTTTACCCCCTTAATGCCGAGCGCCAGACAGGGTAACAACAAGTACCATCTTTAACGTCTTTTGGTATGACGCGGCTGGGGATCGAACCCCGGACCTTCCGCTCTCCGGGCGGACGCTCTACCATTAGACCACGGAGGCGGTCTAGGGCTGTTACGATTCACTCGCGTATTTGGTGAATCGAACCGTATCCATTCATGAATTGAATTCGTTATTCGCGGTCACTAGAATCGAATATTCATGAATATGCATTCATGTGCATTTACATACCCTGACCCTTAAAATATCCATAAGAACATGTTATATGCATAGATTTCTTCAGTGACAGTATTTTAGTCACTGGTCATTGTCGCATTTGAGCAGACACCAGTACCTGGATAAGTGAAGCATATCAATGTATAATAAATTAATAATTAACAAACCATGTCAAATAATGTATTTTGTTTTTGTTTCACTGAATATCATAAATAATACATCAACTGCTGACTTGTTTTTATTCGTGAATAAATATTCTTATTCGTTACCCTATATTCATTATACGAATCGTATTCGCCTTATCGTTTATTCTTTGCAGCCCTAAAAATAACACCCATGGGATTTCTGACTATATATTAATAATGTATTCAAGATTTTGGCTCCATTCAAATACAATTAGTCCAGAGTGAGTGAGTGAGTATGGGTTTTCGCCGCTTTTACCAATATTCCAGTAATCTCATCTCGGGGGACACCGCACTGCGTTTGGAAGACACACATGTGTATTGAGAACATTCTGTAGAATAATTCTTTAAAGTATACACGTACGCATAAAACTGTTCACTGTCGGGTGGGATCCGTGAAGATCCGGGGTAGAATGGGTCTTCAGCATGCTTGCCGTAAAACGTGACTATGCTTGTCGTAAGAGCTGACTAACAGGACCGGGTGGTCAGGCTCGCTGACATGGTTGATGCATGTCATCGCATCCCAAATTGCGTGGATTGCTGCTCATGGTGTCAATCACTGGATTGTCTGGTCCAGATTCGATTATTTACAGACCGCCGTCACATAGCTGGAATATTGTCAGTGCGGTCTCAAACAGCGAACAAACTAACACTGTCGGGTGGTAATACATATCACTAAACTTTTGATAGGCATACTGAAATAGTGTATACCATTAACACATGCATATTAGGAGTAATCCGTGTTGTCTCATTTAATGATGGAAATAGGACATATTTTCTCTCAGCGTGCAATCAGTTAAACAGTGTCATGTCTGCCGCGGTGACGACTACAAAATACATTATAACAAAAGAGTATTGCACATCTGAAATGAACGTAAAACTATAAAAAAAAAAATTATTTATTTTGTTCAGGCATTTCACATGACTTGACGTAGGAGGTTGGCCAACCACAGCGTGAAATCCAATATAGCAGGGCGTTGATTTGTACAAGGAAACTGATGTACTTTTTCGATTTTATTCAAAACTTTGAAACTCTTAAACATCAAATCAATATGAAAGTACGGGGTTGATTTGAATGTAGAAACATTTTAAAGAATAGGCTCGACCTTAACAAGCCTAATGTTAACAGCTGAGAAACCTCCGACTGTTTTTCACACCGACATTAATCAGTAATCGATTTGTTCAGATTTATCGCACATAAAATACAAATAAACTTTCATTTATGATATCGATTGGATTACATTTTTATGCTTTTTTTTCAAAGAAATCATCACATTTTCTTTTCTCCTGTTTTGAAATTCAATATTTGTTTCCAAGAGGCGGGCAAACAGTTATAGATCAAGTTCATCCTTATCAACTGTTTTAATTCATAGTCATTTTAAACAGCTCGGGGCTCAATATTTATCCTTGTCTTCGCCCTTTAAATGAACTTGTCTCGAGGGGCTAGCCACATTCAGTATGGACTTGAGGTGGCAGCCGGGTGAGTGTTTCAGTGTTTAGCCCTGGCTTATGTGCGTTCACTGCGCATGCGTATAGGTGAGCACAACACCCGCGAGTGACAGAGATTGGTATGCATCAAACATAGTATACAGTCATACATGCTCGCGGACGTGCGTGCGTGCGTGCGTTAAGCAGCAACTGCATACATGCATTTTGGACCTAATATCATTGGTAACCTTCATCTCTAAGCCGAGCCAGCACTTTGACAGAGTTTCGGTGTAGAATATTGAGTAAAAACTCATGAAATGATTGCTTTTAAAGGAACATATTGTACAAATATAAGTAGATTTCCTGTCAACATACGGTGATTGTTCTGTTCACTAAGACATATTCAGAGTAATTAAAATCAAAATAATATAAAAATACAAGTACTAAAAAACACCTATTTTGTTTAATTGACACTTGCTCCTGTGAATGTGTGTGTATCACTACACAGAGCCGCTCCCAGCCCCACCGAACCACACCGAGTCACACCCAGCGACACCCAGGCACACCCAGCCACATCCAGACACACCCAGCCACACCTTGCCACACAAGCCACACCGAATCACACCGAGCCACACCAAGTCACACCCAGCGACACCAAGCCACATCCAGCGACACCAAGTCACATCCAGCGACACCAAGCCACATCCAGCGACACCAAGCCACATCCAGCCACATCCAGCCACACCAAGCCACATCCAGCCACACCCAGGCACACCTTGCCACACAAGCCACACCGAACCACAACAGCGACACCCAGCCACACCCAGCCACACCGAGTCACACCAGGCCACCCCAACCACACCCAGCAACACCCACACACCCCCACACCGAGTTACACCCAGCCACACCAAACTACACCCACACCCAGCCACGCCTAGCCACGCCTAGCCACACCAAGCTCCACACCGCGTTACACCAAGCCACACCCAGCAACACCAAGCCACACCGCGTTACACCAAGCCACACCCAGCAACACCAAGCCAAACCACACCAAGCCACACCAAGCCAAGCCACACCAAGCCAAGCCAAGCCACACCAAGCCACGCCCAGCCACACCGCGTTACACCCAGCCACACCAAGCCAAGCCACAGCAAACCACACCCAGCTACACCCACACCTAGCCACACCGAGCCACATCTAGCCACACCAAGCCACACCAAGCCACACCGCGTTACACCAGGCCGCACCAAGTCACACCAATCCACAGCGAGCCGCCAAGCCACACAAAGCAACACCCAGCCACACCGAAACACAATGAAACACACCAAGCCACACCGAGCCACACCCAGCCACACCGAAACACACCGAAACACAATGAAACACACCAAGCCACACCGAGCCACACCCAGCCACACCGAAACACAATGAAACACACCAAGCCACACCGAGCCACACCCAGCCACACCGAAACACACTGAAACACACCAAGCCACACCAAGCCGCACCCAGCGGCATCAAGCCACACCCAGCCACAGCAAGCCACACCCAGCTACACCAAAACAAACAGAACCTCAACAACCCACACCGACCAAGCCACAAGCCACACCAAGCCACACCCAGCCACGACAAACCACACCAAGCCACACCGACCAAGCCACAAGCCACACCCAGCCACACCCAGCCACACCCAGCCACACCCAGCCACGACAAGCCACACCAAGCCACACCGACCAAGCCACAAGCCACACCCAGCCACACCCAGCCACGACAAACCACACCAAGCCACACCGACCAAGCCACAAGCCACACCCAGGCACACCCAGCCACGACAAGCCACACCAAGCCACACCGACCAAGCCACAAGCCACACCCAGCCACACCCAGCCACACCCAGCCACGACAAGCCACACCAAGCCACACCGAGGATAAGGTAGAGTAGACATATGCAAGTTCATTCATTGTAATAATTTACGAACAAAAATACTAATGGTCATTTATGTAAAATCCCGCCCTACGACCACCCCTGTGGGGCCTCGCGGTACTTCCCTTGTTTCACCAATCAATGGCGTCCAGTCATAAGCCTTGTCATGCCCGTTATAGATTTCCCATAATGGAAGTCATAAGTGTGTTGATAAATATTCATAGTATTTATGGTAATCAAGGCTGTTTTTCTTCGAATGTGGGAACTGAGAGACGCTCGGATTTGGGGAAGCCTTGGCGTTTTATTCACGATTCCGCCCGTCTCTCTTGACGAGCCTTCAACCCAGACGATGCACTGATGTCCTTCCCCAGTTTTCTCATCTCCGCTCAGGCAGATAACCCGGGGATAGGGGGTTGGGTGTGGGGGTGGGGGTGGGGGTGGGCTAGGGTTTGCTGGTCAATAGGCTATGCTGACTGTGCATTATAAAACAGATAGGAATGTTGTGTGTTAATTCATCAAGCTAGAAAACTTTTATGCAACTTGGATTTACATTGTAATGACAGCATTGGTCTGCTTGTGGCGTTAATGGTTGGTGGTTGTATGGATAGAATGGCGTCTGTTTACGTGTTTCCCATGAGGGTGAGACTGGGTGTTGGGAAGGGTACAAGGCCACAGACAGACAGACAGACATATTGATGGAGGACGACTGATGGATGGAGGATGGACCGATATGAATGGTAATTGATTAATAAATGAACAGACAGATAGATAAATAAACAGAAAGATGGATGAATAAACATAGATGATAAATGAACGGATAGATGGAAGAATGTTAGTGGATAAATAAACAGATAGATGGATAAATGAAGAGAGCTAAGGATAAATAGCCAGAAAGATGGATAAATGAACAGAAAGATAGACACCAGTAAATGGTGATTGACAGATAGATGTGTTGATGGATGATTGACAGATATATGTTTGGATGGATGATTGACAGGTGGATGTGTGGATGGATGATTGACAGATAGATGTGTGGATAGATGATTGACAGGTGGATATGTGGATGGATGATTGACAGGTAGATGTGTGGATGGATGATTGACAGGTGGATGTGTGAATGTAATAGACTATTTGACTATTTGGAGAAAGAATATTTTCCCCGCCACTTCTTCAAGAAAAGCGATGTTTGTCTGAAACACACATGTGTCAGGGACTCCATCATATCCAGCGAACAATTTGCTTATGTTTGGTAAAACCTGTCTATCTATGTTTGGTAAAACCTGTTTGTCTATGTTTGGTAAAACCTGTTTATCTATGTTTGGTAAAACCTGTTGATCTATGTTTGGTAAAACCCGAGGGCATGGAACTATGGAACAATGAACCGGTTAGTTCTGCTTCCTGGAGATGTATTTTGTATGGAAATGTAATGTGCTATTGTTTTATCAGAAATTTATATCTGAAAGCACAAGTCACGAAAAGCAGTTATACAGACGAGCGCACCAATGGCTCCGCCATTAAGAATTATCAAGATTGCATACTGGACTGTTAGGCCCCGGTCCTCCCCACGCCTGAAGTAGGACGCGCCACTACCACCATCAGTACGAGGCACAGTGCGGCTGACATTCATTCCGTACATACACTGCCGGGCAAAGGAAACTATACACCCATGTTTGGTGGTGGCTAAAAATAAAACAAACAAGAAATGGGTGTTTGATTGTGATGTACTTTACACGGGTATCACAGTTGTGCTAGCCACCGACAGATCCATCTGTCAATCATCCATCCACACATCCATCTATCAATCATCCATCTGTTCAGTCAGCTCACGCGCGCATGCACGCACGCACGCACGCACGCACGCACGCACGCACTCACCCACACACGCACACTCTACTAACCCACCCTCCAACTCACTCGCATTTGTTATTGGACTGTTGAACATCATTACTACCAATTGTTTGTATGTTTGTTGTTTAACGCCGCACGCAGCAATATTCCAGCTATATGACGGCGGTCTGTAAATAATCGCCTCTTGACCAGACAATCCAGTGATTGACATCATGAGCATCGATCCACACCACTGGGATACGATTATATGTATCAACCAAGTTATCGAGCCTGACCACCCGATCCGGTTATATAACCATAAGTTGCTGAAGACCTATTCTAACCCGCATCTTCACGGGGTTCCTACCAATTTTACCTGATAAGTGTCCTACTGGAATCCTACACTGGAATAACACTGTAAAAACTATTTTCTACTGGAAGAAAAAACGCGACGAAAAACAAAGAACAGTGTTACAAATTTCTGTAAAGCAATAATCTGTTGCATTATGAATTATACCCACTCTGAACTTGATCCTACTGCTTTGATCAAACCTCTTTTGGATATGATTTCTGTAAAACTCACCAGAAAGTGTTGTAAATGTCAGGTTATCCAGAATAATGTTACGTCTTCAGATACTAATTTTAGCCAGGTCATACTTTTCATAATAAATTGACGTCAGGTTTCTCCATACCCGCAACGTATTAACCATGGCATATACCAGGGTACTTGTAAAGTCATGCAATGGCTGGATTGTTATAAATAGGTGTTGCTGATCATTTCGGGTGACAGCAATGAGATATCCTTCATTGAGTAAGTGAGTGAGTTTGATTTAATGCCGTTTTCGGTCATGTGACGGTCGCCCTTTGGTTTGTCACCACCACACCGATGCTTATTGGATTCATCTTATTTGTTGTTTGTTTGTTTGTTTGTTGTTTAACGCCGCACTCAGCAATATTCCAGCCATATGACGGCGGTCTGTAAATAATCGAGTCTGGAACAGACAATTCAGTGATTGACATCATGATCATCGATCCACGCAATTGGAATACGATGACATGCATCAACCATGTCAGCGAGCCTGACCACCCTATCCCGTTAGTCGCCTCTTACGACAAGCATTGTCGCCTTTTATGGCAAGCATGGGTTTGCGAAGACCTATTCTACACTGGATCTTCCCGGGTCATCTAATTTGTAAACCTCTTGCGTCATGTCCCCTCACAAGTATTCTAATGCACCAGATATTACCTAACTTGTTCAAAGCCATCTAAATAAATTACTGAGGATTCCGTGGAGCTTGGTTGGCTGACCAAGTAATTTGTTCTGCGTTTATATTTCCATAAACCGAAAGAAATATTAGGCAAATCCCACTAACGGTACTACCTTTTGCAGATTGGCGATTCATTTGTAAGAATTGACTTCAATATGTTGTTTGCGTCTCTGAAGGTGTACATTCATACCTTCGTGAAACAAGAGTGAGTGAGTTGGGTTCTACGCCGCTTTTAACAGTATTCCAGTTATATCGCGGCGTGTTAGCTTAATGTGGGTGGAAAGCACGAAGTGATGCAGGTCTCAGGCGTTTACCACTTCGGTGAAACCCACGAGCACAGGTATGGTGCTGACAAACCTAGAAACATAATCGGGGCGAACCCGGATTCGAACCCACAATCATAGGTTTCTGGCGTGTCCAAGGGACGCAACTCTGCACAGCGAATCGCGGCGCCTTAGACGACTTGGCCACCCGTGCCCCCTTCGTGAACAAGAAGTCGGTTATATAGTAAACTAACTCTCTCTGCTACTGGTTCAACTTGAACAATAGTTTCAATTCTTAACGTAATTTCGTGTCATTTAGAACAGCTTGGCTTGAGTGCCAGGTGAAATGACACCTACAAGCTTGGTGATGTAAAGAGGCCTAGGCTCGACTAATTAGCAGTCATTGCACATTTGATTTACGTCCCCCAAGTAATGGTTTATTGGTCTGCTAGTTCACAGTTTATGGGGGGCGGTCGGGTAGCCTAATGGTTAAAGCGTCACGCCGAAGACCCGGGTTCGATTCCCGACATGGGTATAATGTGTGAAGCTCATTTCTGGTGTCCCCCGCCGTGATATTGCTGGAATATTGCTAAAAGCGGCGTAAAACCATACTCACTCACTCACTCACTCACTCACAGTTTATGAGGTATACCACATCAGCAACTAATGATAACCCCACAAATACAGGGACAATGTCTACACATTTAAAATATGGTATTAATTACAGCGTCTAGACTCAGGCAGAACATGGGTACCAGTCAGTGGAGCATCAGCATAGACTAACACAGTCTCCCTTTAAACATAACACAGTATAGACCAACACACTCTCCTTTTCAATCTGGCACAACATAGACAAACATAGCCTCCTTTTAAAAGTAACGCAACATATGCCAACGCATTCTTCTTTTAAAAATAGCACAATAGAGACAAACACACTCTCCCTTTAAACATAGAACAACAGAGACCAACATAGTCTCCCTTCAAACCTAGCACAGCATAGATCAACACAGTCTCCCTGTAAATTTAGCACAACAGAGACCACACACTCTCCCTTTATAATAGCACAGCATAGACCAACACACTCTCCTTTGGAACACAGCACAACAGAGACCACACACTCTTCCTTTTTAATAGCACAGCATAGACAAACACACTCTCCTTTTTAATAGCACAGCATAGACCAACACATTCTTATTTTGAACACAGCACAACAGAGACCACACACACTTCCTTTTTAATAGCACAGCATAGACCAACACACTCTCCTTTTGAACGCAGCACAACAGAGACCAAACACTCTCCTTTTAAACACAGCACAACAGAGACCACACACTCTCCCTTTATAATAGCACAACAGAGACCACACACTCTCCTTTTAAACACAGCACAGCATAGACCAACACAGTCACCTTCAAACATAGAACAGCATAGACCAACCCAGTCTCCCTTTAAACATTGCACAACATAAGCCAACAGTCTTCCTTTAAACATCGCACAGCATAAGGCCATCACAGTCCCCCTTTAAACCTAGCACAGCATGGATCAACACACTCTCCCTTTAAACGTAACACAGCTTAGACCAACGCAGTCTCCCTTTAAACGTAACACAACACAGACCAACTAGTCTCCCTTTTAACAAAGCACTGCATAGACCGACATAGGTAGACAGTCACACTAGTAATTACAAAATGTTGAAATCTAGGATCTTGTGTTTCGCGTGTGTGTTTCTATTGAGGGTTCCTTGTGCGCTAGGGTAGCCTAGTGGTTAAAGCCTTCCCCTGAACGCCGAATGCCCGGTTTCGATTCCCCACATGGGTACAATGTGAAGCCAATATCTGTGGTCACCCGATATTATATTGTGAGAGTATTACTCAAAGCTTCCATAGTCCATTACCCACTCACTATTGAAAATCTAAAAATGACGTTTTAATCAGGCTGTAGGCTGCAGTTGTATATAGCCCTATTATACTGTAGTAATAGATTGTAGTAATATACCTACAGTAATACATCTGTAGTATAGCCGTAGCTCAGCAAGTAAATAGTAAAAAAAAGCAATTCTCTCTCTCAACAGAAAATATTTGACCAACAAACAGATCAGAAATGCAACTGGAATGAGAAATGTAATAGATTTTACCACCGCTTCAAACCTTGGTCTGTCTGGAATCAAAGACGTTTGCAATGTTTCGGAGGCGATTGTTACTATTGTTTGTTTGTATTTCAAATCTGTTTTCTTTGTAGTTATCAGATAATTCGATAATGACAATTGTCTGAATAACGATAAATCATGACAGATCACTTCCATTAACGATACATTAGATGTAGACTTACATACCCTATTATAGGTGGATAGTATTGTTTACTTTATCAATAAATCATGGAGACTTATAACGTTAGTTTGCAAAGTATGCTGAAAGAAATCGGGTTCATTGCTTATGTAACCTTTGGGCGTTCTAGATTTTTCTAGCGTGATGCAAGAATGAGAGAATAATTCTATATTTGAGTTAGCCCCCTTTAGCTAACGTGACTTTCAACATGGCTGCCACGATGAGCATGTGTGTTCGTCAAGTGATGAAGATTCCTTATTTTTCACAATCTGTTTTGATTCGAAGTCCTTCAAGGTATGTCATTTGATTACGTCAAGTTACTTTTAGAACGTACAAGAGTGGCAATCTATAGGCATACATAAACGATCGATAGGCGCAGTTCTCCCGATGACATTCACTGGTTGAGTGTTCCAGAAACTGCACTTTTTCAGTTTTTACAAAGTTTCGTTGACTGGTATACGAGGAAAAACAGACAATTCCTTCTCACTGGCAGCTGTATATATTTATCATATCAACAGTGTTTAAATAGTTAAGGGAAATATTTCTTTTAATTTCATGTTTAGCCAAATTATCTAAACAAGGAAAAGTCGGTCAAAAGTTAGAGTAAAACTTTAGAATATGACTAGGCCGTATGATCCTGTTTCTAGTATGTTGTACATAAATCATGGGTGCTATTTCAAAAGCAGCAAATTCATGATTGTTAATCTTAACTGGAAATGAGTGTTATTTGATATGTTATATGTTATGTAAATTGTCGGCCCAAATTGTCTGCTGTTCCACCATGTCCACACTGGGGGATATTTCATGAAGGAAGGGATAAACATTTCAGCTAGCCTGTTAGTCCAAGACTAGTGAAAATCTAGATATGGATCCCTTGTGGATAGGTCTAATGCAACATTGTTTACATTAAGTTGACATCACTGAAGATATAAAATAAATGGGGGCTGTGGAGATCCGCAAATTACTTGGTAATCTTTACTCTCAACGTAGCATCTCAGTTTGCTTGTTCAGGAAAATTTACAGTTTATCATATGATTGAATTTGATCTTTTTAATGCAATTTAACGTCATTAATTTCCTATTTTGATCATACTGCAACCAAAACAAAAAGTTGTCAGTCCACGACAATGTTTTACCCAGACAGCAAGCTGTAATTGGCTGACTCTTTCATATGCTTTTTGGTTTTCTGATCAAAAACTCATGGACGGTAGGAACTGTGAAGATCTGGGTTAGATTAGATCTTCAGCAACCCATATTTGCCTTAAAAGGCGACTATGCTGTTGTAAGAGGCAACTAGCGGGATCATGTGGTCAGGCTGACTTGGTTGATGCTTGTTATTGTATCCAATTTTGTAAATCGATGCTCATGATATCAATCACTGGATTGCCCGGTCCAGGATCATGTATTTCCCCAAATGATTTATTTATCAAATAGCTTGAAAGGTTGCTGAGTGCGGCTTTAAACAACAAACAAACATGAATGGAAGAGCAGCGTTAGAAATTGGCACTCATCCTATAGTCCTTGCCAAACTGCCCAATAGTTAAGGTATGATAAGGATTGCCCTTTTAATGGTCTTTGCTATATGTTATCATTATAAGGACTAGTTGACTAAAACTGTTAGTTTCTATTTCTGGAGAGTATGCCTTTGACTGTCCCATCGCAAGATTTTGCCATAAATTGTTTTAGTCAAAAACTCAGTTGTGTCTTTAGAAGCTTTCCACTACCGCTGTGTTGCTGATTTTCCGACATCCATATTAAAAGCTTTACCCATGTTGGAGTAAGCCCAAAATAAGATTTTCTATAACTGACAAGAGCTTATCAAATACCTGGTTTGCGTGTCAGCTTGTTCAACAAAGCTCCTTACAACAATACTTCATTCCCTGTGCTATAATATGATAGTGGAAAGAAGGTCCCACACATTGTGATGGAGCTTGCTTCATAAAATTGCACACTGCTCACTTCAGCATAAACACCTGCAAAAGAAGTATGTTGATGAATTTAAATATCATAACATGGGTCTAATGTATGTTGAGCTGCATGTCGGTGATTATTGTGTCATTCTTGAAGAAGATGCGGCTGTGCCGTGATGCCTCACACAAGAATGAACACTGCTACAGAGCTCCAGATAAGCTGCGTATCTGCGTAAAATAGAATCCAAGCGTATCAAATACACAACAAACATTACAGATACGCTACGAAAATAAAACTTGTGCGTATCATCACAATATTGTGAAGTAACCCTGCGTATTCGATTAGCAAATCAGCAACTTATTTTGAAATTACAAACAGGCATTCCATCAACCTTGCCAAAATCCACGATGACAGTTACATCATGAACATTTGCCATCACACTTTCTTGTGGAAGAATCGTGGTATTTTTGAGCCCTATAAAGCTCTCGAACCCACACGACACCAGTTTGCAGGTACTAGATGAATAGTGTTTTCAAATATTTAACTTAAATACCCACATGTGTAAAAACTAGTGGGTAACAGAAATTTGAATAACCAGATAGAATTACTGATACCCAATGATTTTAAAATGCATGGGTAAAATACCCACAACACCAAAAGCTTATCTGTTCGTCCACCAAACCTCCAGACTCATGAATATTAATTAGACCGTTCACAACGTTAACAGATCGTTATTATAACAGAAACAAACGTATGTTTTCCATATATATCTGAAATGATATTATTTGTTATTAATTGTCCGGTGAATTAAACAATTTAAATTGAAACAATTCATAATTCATCATATTATGAATACGTAACAACTTGTAATTTGTGTGTAAAAAGTCGTACTAAAATACGCTGTTTGAAGGGGGCGTGGCATAAATGTAAATGTCCGATTGGGATTTTAAATTTTCCGGACCCCTGCTCCAGGGTCATAGACATCCTGGAGTATAATCATAATACTATTCGTCTGTTGACCCATGAAGATCCGGGGTAGAATAGGTCTTCAGCAACCCATTTGTCGTAAAAGGTGACTGTGCTTGTCATATGAGGCAACTAACAGGATTGGTTGTCAGGCTCGCTTGGTTGATGCATGTCATCATTTTCCAATTGTGTGGATCGATGCTCATGAAGTCAATCACTGGATTGTCTAGTTCAGACCCAATTATTTACACTCTGCCGTCCTAAAGCTGGAATATTGCTGAGCAAAATGCTAAGTGCGACAGCAAACAAACAAAAACAAACTATGCGTTTGTTCAGAAATAAGTGTCAGACGAGCTGTCACCCTGGGTCACAAATTGTGTTCAGTTGTTTTCTTTATCGTGTTCATCACCAACTGGTAAAAAAATCCCCTAACAATGCTGATAGAAAAGGCAGCTAAGCCCCCAAGCATCAGTAGTTTCACAAGTACCTGAAGGGTCGTTGAAGGTATTTTGTCTGCACTAATGTAGTTTGTTTGTTACCATGATTAATTCCTACTTATTTTTAAGTAATGGAACCATTCAGATTTATCGACAGTCATTGATGTGATTATTATGTGAAAGGGGCATTGTATGTTCATGCAGAACATGGTGCCTATATCAATAAGTGTTTCATTGCAATAGACAAAACTCTTCCCACTAGTTCCTTCGTCGAGTCACTTTTATCTTCCCTTACTGGTTCCTGCAGATGTTGCCGAGTCAGGATGACAACAACTGCTACAGATGGTAAGCCCTCGACAACGTCAGAGCAGAAGCCGGCAGAGGAGAAGCCATCTGAGTCTACCACCGCGGAAGACCCATCAGCCGTGGAGAAACAGCTGATGGAGGACAAGGCCAAACTGGAGGCGCAGGTGTCCGACTTTAAGGTAGGACTGAACTGCTGCCTCAATTACCATGGTTACCCTGCAAAAATAATAATCTACTAAAGTTAAGATATCTATTCCAAGGATTTATTCACAAAGGACATTGGTTGTCAAGTTGGCTTACTGAGTTGCAAGAAGTCATGCAGAGTTGTGTGCCTTGGGCAAAAACCTGATTGTGGGTTCACATCCCAAATTCACTCTGATTATGTTTCTGGTTTGTCAGCACCAACTCATGATTGTGGTAGATGTGGCAGATCACTTCAGGCTTTCCTCCCACATCAGGTTGACAGGGCGTGATAAATTGAATCTCACTCAAGTGCCTTTTGATATCACTGATGAAAGCCTTGAAGATTTACATTTTAACATCTTTGAACTTTTATTGACTCATGTTAATGTATTTGATATCAACAGGCACTCGGGAGAGATTCTACTTACGGTACAACATCATTCTTTTAATGTTGTCATTTAGTGAACAGTAATAAGCTAGTCTTATGTGCAACAAACCAGCTTCAGTGGCAGAGAGATTAGTTATGTCATTTCATTGTAACATCACAGTAACCAATGATGTTGCACTGGTCTACAGAGGAAAGTCTACTTAAACTTTCCATGAGGATTGTTTTTCAGTGCATGTATTTTCTGAAAGTGGGATTCTAACATTACTGGACCAACATTACTTATATTACACCTGGGCTTCAGACAAGTGATGGAGGTTGCAGACTTAGACCACCTGAACAATGCTGAAGTCACAGCCCGTTTGTCCAGTTTTCTTGAGGCGGGTGCCTGATAGTAGAATAGGTCTCTAGCAACCCACACTTGTCGTAAGAGGTGACCGAGCTTGTCCTAAGAGGCGACTTACGGGATCAGGTGGTCAGACTCGCATGTCATTGCTTCCCAATGGCGTGAATTGATGCTTATGATGTAAACCACTGGATTGTCTGGTCCAGACTCGATTATATACAGTCTGCCGTCAAATAGCTGGAATATTGCGGAGTGCTGCGTTAAACAACAAACAAACAAGCTTATGTTGAAATATGCACTTTGATTAGGTAACATTTGAAATGAAAGACACTATCTATAGCTCGTGGGATGAACTGCCATACAATCTTAGCCATCTTAGACTTTCCGGAACTATTTTTATTCAGTTTAACTCGAGAACTTTGTCAAAATATTTTACGAAGCGTAGTCTAGAATGGAAGTCGCTGTTTCGAAACTGTTGTTTTCATGTTAGTCATCTCATTGGTCAGTTAAAGTTCACGAAAAGTATCAGGATGTCCTGACCTTCAGTATGGCAGTAGCGAGCACCAAGATCTGATCTTAATGAGATTGTGTCATGATGTAGTTAGAATAATGCATAAAGAAGTGTAAAAACACACTCACTCACTAATTCCTTGTTTCTTCAGGACAAATACATGCGTTCCCTCGCCGAAACAGAAAATGTCCGACAGAGGATGAAGAAGCAGGTGGACGATGCGAAGATATTCGGCATCCAAGCTTTCTGTAAGGACATGTTGGAGGTGGCCGACATCCTGTCCAAGGCAAACGAGAGTGTCCCGCAACAGGAGATCTCTAGTAACCCTCATCTCAAGAACTTGTTCGATGGACTGACAATGACAGAATCACAGCTACAGAAAGTATTCGTCAGACACGGATTGCACAAGATAGCTCCATCAGAAGGGGAGAAGTTTGACCCCTTCCTCCATGAAGCGCTGTTCGAGGTGCCAACGTCTGATAAGGAGGGCGGAACGGTAGCAGTGGTACAGAAAATTGGCTATAAGCTGCAAGAACGGACAATCAGACCAGCGCTTGTCGGGGTGTTTAAGTCCTGAGGTTTGCATGCTGTAGTTTGAATGTGATATGATGGCGTGAAAGTACAGACTGTAATTTTTTGTTACGTGTTATACTGTATGGGTGTAACGATACAGCAAGTTATACACTGCTATATAATGTGTACAATGTTAGACCTCTTATAGTAAGGGTGTGATACATCATGAAACACCATGTTATACTGTGGAACAATCATTAAAACCAGATCTTTACTCCGATACGATACCTCTCTCTCTGCATCGGAGGCGGTGTCAACTTCAGCAAACTTTGACCACCAAGTCTAAATGAAGGCTGTGTGTGTTCTTGAGCCAATCAGAAGTCAGGTCTAAATGAAGGCTGTGTGTGTTCTTGAGCCAATCAGAAGTCAGCTTTTTAAAAGGATTCCGCTTCATATCTTTACCACTTTGAAAACCCACACAGAACACAGTTATTCAGTTATAGTACTACCATTGGGTGTAGATGAGATGTCACTCAGAGGCAACACTGTGTATAAAATGTCTACAACAATATAATGGACCGGCCCTGTTCAGCGACGTTCAGAGCTAGTTGTTTATTTTAGAGATAGAAAAATCAGATATACCGAGAATTTAGACACCCAGTTAGAGAGTTCAGAGAGATATCATATCGGTGTAATAGAGTAATAAAGTCAAGGATGCTATCGCTGTTACATGTAATGTTTATCTCATGGAGTGTGTTGCTTTGGGACTGACTAATGGTTTGGTCCTTGTATGTCTTCAAATGACATTATGGGACATAGGGGTAGTCGAGTGGTTCATGCACTTGCTTGTCATGCAGAAGGGGTTTGATCCTCCCCAATGGCATCTGTAAAACCCTGCATCTACAGAGATGCCAACCATTCTGAATTTCTCAGAATAATCATACTTTGAACTTAATTCCAGCAAGTTTTACGTGAAGTATTTGATAAGTTTTGTCACCTGTAATTTAAACTAGATATTCATCTGGCTACACTCATCATCACATACGCAACCAATTAATACTCAAATTAATAATCATGTTTTAGTTGTGATACAATACACTGCAGAAGTTGATCTATTTTCAACAACATCATGAAGTAAGACATGCTAATATTTTTAGTAAATTACATATTTAGCCAGTATCCCAGATGTTCCTGATTGCCAGCGTAGATTGACAACAAATGGTGATGAAATTTGAGGAGGGTAATAGATGCAAGATATTATATTGACATTGAAAAGAGGTAGAGGTGTTAAAGCTAACCTCAGTATTTTCTTTTTAAATGAGAGTGAGGTTTGAGCTGTGTGATCAGTTGGTTTGTGATACTAAACTGCTTAACTGTGTACTTGTGTCGTCAGCCTTGTGGATCTTCAGCTAAAGTTCTTAGGGTTGTTGTGAAACTCAATTACATTATTTTATTCTACAGGGAGAGTAGTACTGATGGCTGTCAAATGTTTGTTTGGTACAATTTTCATTATGATCCGTGATGAATGTTGAACTCTATTACCATGATTACACACAATCACACTATCAACACATGTTTGAAACATCATGTAATCAAAAATGAACGCCTGTATTCTCAAATAGTAATTTTCTTGTTCCCTTTTTCTAGTGGCGAATGATCTTAAAACTGTCCTTTGACCATACTGAAACATGTTCTGTAATTTGTATCACGAAGCTTTCGGCTTGTTCAATGATTCATTTACATGTCTACAAAGACAGAAGGCCATTATTAGTGTGCCAGCTGTGATATTGCTGGAATATTGCTAAAAGTGGCAAAAAAACACAACTCACTATGAATGACCTTAATAGACAGAATCAAAACCATGGTCAGTTCCAATGGTGAATTTTGTAATCATGGTAATGTAGGGACATGATTCTCATATCTTCTTCCTCTCAGTACACATGAAACATCATTATATTCTATGCATGTTTTTCCTTCTCAACTAAGACAAGACCATTTTATTTTTTTGTTTTACTGAGTTCAGTTTTCAAGAGACCAAGAGCAATTGATCAAAAATATTTGAGGTTAATTTCTTCAAGCGATATCTTGAAGCATACTTTTATGTCAAAAGAAGGTTTTTAGGGTTGTTGTTTTTTATCTTGAAAACTGTTTGGTCAGTAAAGTGAGAAAGTAAACTGGTCTTGCCTAAATATGAGTGTTGGAGATCATCTACTTCAGTATGGTGTTGTGTCATTCCAGTGATGTTCTTTTGTCCATACCTAGGTACAGAAACATATAACATGATGTGTGTCAGGAATAAATCAAACAGTAAGAAAATATGCCTTTGTTTTGCCTCAGTTGTCACCTTCAAGCTGTTATCATGATTGCCACTGAACAGGAAAACATTAGAGAAGCTAGTGGGATACAGTGTTTGTTTTTATCGTCGCACTCGAATCTGGACCAGACAATCCAGTGACTGACATCATGAGCATCGGTCCACGCATTTGGGATACAATGACATGCAATAACCAGGTCAGTGACTCTGGCCACCCGAACCCGATAGTCGCCTCTTAGGACAGGCAAAGTCGACTTGTGGGGCAAGCATGGGTTGCTGAAGACCTATTCTGCCCTGGTAGAATGTGTACAGTGATGGGTGATCTTGAAACAGGTTGCTCTTCTCCCAGTGAGAAGTGTTGCTGCAAGTACCTGTATGAATCACTGACTCAGCTCCGCAAACTGAGTCGTGTCATGGACTCTTCTATTCTCCCAAAGTACATGCACAGAAGTTGCCACCGTCAGCTTGCGTCGGAGGATTATTTTAACCAAGGGAGATAATTCTGTTTGGCTTGATAAAGACCGCCGGCTGTTGACATGCATTAAATCCATAAACCATCATCGAAATAATATCAAAACGATGGTTACAGTCTAGCTAAAACAAGTGACGCCCAGCAGTTTACCCAACTGATTTGTGGCTAAAAGCTGTAGGATCCATTTCGTGTAACTAAATAGACTATAGTGAGCAGAAGCCATCCCGTGGCTCGGCGAGTTGGTAGCTTGTCATCGTACACCGATGTCGTTGTCGTATCCCGATAGCGTGGTCGTTGTTCATAACTGGGTTGTCTGGTCAAGATTTTGATTATTTACACACAGACGTCATACCGTTGGAATGTTGCTGAGTGCAGCGTTATTACGCTTAAACAACCAAGGATGTCTCATTGCGGAACATACTTTGATTAGACTAACACAGTCACCGAAATAAAGTTATGAATAAGAAGTACTAAAACAAATCTGTTAAATGAACCATCGAATATTAACTTCGTCTCCTATTTCAGAAGTAATGAGACTGTGTGAGCTGAGATGAGAATGCAGAGGGTGTGATTGACTAGCCCCTAATGGTTCCCGTTCGAGTTTGTGTGATATTGAACTCCAACTATTATAAGGTAGCAAACACAACAAATATAAAACGCTGAACATCTTCAGAAGTTAACCGTCACCAGAGTCACTAGAAAAGTATAGAATAGCAAGGTCCGTATTTAGAACTTTACGTAAACGCACACAAGACGATAACAAGAAGAACGTTGTGTCATCCATATTTGAAGCAGACGGAAGGAGATATTGTAAAATGTTTTGGAAACTGATAAGGATGTATACAAGTCATGGAGTTGATAATATCTTTTTCCGTAATCTCGCTGCGAAGATGTCATCACCTTCTAGACACTTGACACAGCTTGAACAATCGTGGTTTGACAAGTACACTGTCACGTCATTTGAATATTCTGTTGATTTGCCATTTATTGTTGTGTTAGGGTTTAATAACTGATTGAGTGAGTGAGTATGGTTTTACGCCGCTTTTTGCAATATTCCAGCAATATCACGACTGGGGACACCAGAAATGGGCTTCACACATTGTACCCATGTCGGGAATCGAACTCGGGTCTTCGGCGTGACGAGCGAACACTTTAACCACTAGGCTACCCGACCGCCCCAATAGCTGTTTGAAGTCATCCAGGAATCTGGTTTTCTTTGGTATTTGATTGACGCCTTAATATAGGTGAGGTGAGGTGAAATGGGGGTTAACGTCGCGTCCAAGATTATTGCACTTCTATAGCGACGTGCATGTACGTGTGTGTGTGGCTGCTTGTGCTAGTCCGGACTGATGCCGGTTTATAGTGCTAGCTCACTGAGATGCCATGCCGCAGTTTAACATGAATACCCCACTCAGACACAGTATACTGACTCCGAGCCGACCAGTCCTTTTTTTAGCCCCTTAATGCCGAGCGCCAGACAGGGTAACAACAAGTACCATCTTTTAACGTCTTTTGGTATGACGCGGCCGGGGATCGAACCCCGGACCTTCCGCATTCCGGGCGGACGCTCTACCACTAGACCACGGAGGCGGTCTCCTTAATATAGCGGGAACATAGTGACGAAAGACAGAACACACGGTAGAACTAGGGTAAAATACAGAAGAAAAAGATTACCACGTGCCATATATTTGAAGACAGATAAAAATCAAACCTAATAATCATAAAAAGCCTTACGAGACACGGATGTCTTAAAAAAACTAAAATATATGAAAAAATAATTCATCTTTTCAGATGGAAATTCTGTCTTCACAACATCGACACAAATGCTCGCCTTATAGCGAGGTTACAGCGTAGAGGACCACCTGTTCTGGCATGTCAACCAAGCCATTAATACACATACCTGACATTGTATTGACACGCCCCCGGTATAGCATGTCACCTGTGGACTGGCAGTCACGCGTGGCGTGGAAAGGGGTTTCATAATTGAGTACAGTGTCATCAAGATGAGTTTACCTGAAGCCCTGCATGTCGGGGTAGCGTAGTGAGCTGGTAGGGTTGTAGTTGTATAACACGAACTCAATCACTCGGGCGTAAACTGTCCTTTAAAGAAAGTTATATGTCAAGTTTGGTGACCCGTTTAATAAGCATAAAATATAAGTATATTTTGTGTAAAGAAGCACCGTTAGGCTGATATAAGGCAGTGCATAAGTGGATGCACTCTCGGATGTACTTTCCGCCAGGGTGACGAAACATGAACTCACTGTCTATGTATTTAAGAACACGTGTCACGCGTAAGCATGTGTCGCCCTTGTCTATATCATGCATACTACTCAAAAGATGTTAAGGAATATAGTAATATGAAAGAATTGGGTGGTCCTTAACTTCTTTTGAGTAGTACATGTGGGGCCATGTTGGTTTTATTGAACCAATGCATATCTCAATATCACGACTGCGTTTCAGTGTTCAAATGTTTAGAACTTTTGTCGCATCGCAGTACGATTTGATGCCGCAGATCTGGATCAGCTAAATTGATAAACGTAATAAAATTTAAGTTTACAAAGTTGGTTTAGATTGACCTGCATCAAATTTGTTGGGACGGCCAATATCCCAGATCAAGACTCTCTTTAACATCTGAGAAACATCACAGGGCTGCAAATTGAGCCATCTCTGAGATGCGCCTTGATCGTACAGGTTTAAGTGTCCCTACATCCATCCATCCATCCATCCATCCATGCGTTCGGTCAGCCAGCCAGCCACACATCCATCCATCCATCTCTGAGATGCACCGAGATCGTACAGGTTAAAGTGTCCGTACATCCATCCATCTACCATCCATCCATCCACCAATTCATCGTCCGGCCAACCGTCCATCCACTCATCCGTCCATCCAGCCGTCCAGCCGTCCATCCATCCATCCATTCGTTCGGCCAGCCGGCCAACCAGACACACATCCAGCCATCCATCTCTGAGATGCGCCGAGATCGTACAGGTTAAAGTGTCCGTACATCCATCCATCCACCGCCCATCCGTCCACCAATTCATCATCCGGCCAGCCGGCCATCCACACATCCGTCCATCCAGCCGTCCAGCCGTCCATCCACACATCCGTCCATCCGTCCATCCGTCTATCAATCTGGGACTAAATTCCCAGTGTCACAATCCCTTGGGAATTCAGGGTTAGAATTGGTCCCAATCAACCGATGCTTGAAAGATTTCCGCATTACCCCTGCTTCAAATTTTAAACTGACACTACAATAAAATATTTGTAACTTATTATTAAATTATGTTTTAATACAGGGGCAGGGGTTAAGGTGGGAGGTTTTACCTCTTTGCTGGACGTGAAAGGCGACTTAATAGATTGGGTGATTAGCGTCGGTGATTTGGTTGACGGCGTGTCAACGTAACCATACGGAGAACATCGTTGCCTACAATACCAGTCACTGGATTGTCTTACCCAGGCTCCGCTATTATTAGGTCGCCGCCATATAGCCGGAATATTGCCAAGTGTGGGGTTCAATTTATCGCGACGCCGAATTTATGGCTGGTTTGACAAATGATATATGTGCTTGCACAATACACGGGACAGTGAAGGTGCTTTATCATGTCATGTACACACCCCGACCACAGCTGTCGAGACAAATCACTCCGCCAGACACCGCCACGCAAAATGATACCAGCCTCAATTACGACTGTCATTGTCTATGTTGAAACAAAGTTTATATTTCGTAATGTAAACTACTTGTCTGTCATGCAGACCCTGCTACAAATTTATCCAATACAACCCATGCAAGTCTATAATGTTTGGCAAGTCTAGATTACTGCAGTATCAGGAAAATGAAGAGAGTCACTGGGCTCCCTTTTATTATATTTTTATTAAGATAATTGAACAACTGTTTTTTCTGTACGATATGTTCATTTCAGAGACTAGATGTTAGTCTAGCGGTCGGCTTGAGGAGCTGCGGCCTCTTTGTGGGGCGGGACCCTGACCTCGATATGACCCAGCTGTAGACGTGACACCGGTCCGTCTGGTCACAACAGCGCGATGTTTTCAGGCCTCACAATAGGACCCGGTGGGGAACCACAGCATCAACGAAGGTTGGGGACTGGGCCACGTCGTTAGGTCCCATTGCGCATTCTTCAATATTTCCTGGAACAGGCATAAATGCACCTTCTCTTCTCTTCTCACATTCGACACTATTCACACTATTCATTAAAAATTAGTGTTCTTTTGTTGTATCATTCAATACATCAAACAGCAATGGAAATGTGATCAGACCTATCACTGTTTTCATTATAAGCATTCCTACACATCCTGCACAAGTCACCCATCATAATAGCACATATTCAGCAGTCATTGTGGACATCTAAATGACCTTCTTGAAAGCAGTCGGTACATTTTGTCTTCTGTGCATTTGGGTCAATATTTAGAAATATGAAACACGTGAAGATCCGGGGTAGAATGTCTTCATCAACCTATGCTTGCCGTAAAAGGCGACTATGCTTGTCGTAAGAGGCGACTTACGGGATCGG